ATTTAGGTTTAAAAAGAGGAAGCAATTTTAATGGCTGTAAATGCCGCTCAATGATATATTGGACTTCTTTATTTGTAGAAGAGTTTAGTATCATTGGGAAAATAAATATGGTACAGATCTGCAAAGATCTGTGACCCTAGAAATTTTCAACAAATTTCACGATATCTCATGAACTATCGATCCGAACTTAACAAAATAAGTACCATTCGAACTGTCTCAATGAGACGGATCAAATGGTATTAAAATCAATAAATTTCAATTACTGGAACACAAGATAGCTGCATTAAATGAATTTTGCAGCCATCTCACGATCATGTTACTCAGTGGTCCAAATTTAATGATTTTGGTACCATTCGATTCTTCTCAATGAGACGGTTCGAATAGTACCAAAAATGTTAAAATCGGATTACTAGTTCGCGAGATATTCGCAAAATACGTTTCGTGACGCAGTTTTGCACAGTTTTGCAAATTTTCTCTGCACAGAACTGCGCAGAACTGTGCCACAAAACGTATTTTGCGAATATCTTGTGAACCAGTGGTCCGATTTTAACGTTTTTGGTACTATTCGAACTATCTCATCGAGAGGAATCGGATAGTATCAAAATCATTAAATTTGGACTACTGGGTAACATGATTGTGAGATGGCTGCAAAATTCATTTAAATGCAGCTATCTCGTGTTCCAGTAATTGAAATTTATTGATTTTAGTACCATTCGATCTGTTTCACTGAGACAGTTCAAATGGTACTTATTTCGTTAAGTTCGGATTGATAGTTCACGAAATATCGTGAAATTTGTTGAAACTTTCCAGGGTTACAGATCTTTGCAGATCTGCACTATATTTATTTTCCCGATAATAGAGAGGAAATTTTACTATAGCAGATTGCACATAGGTAATTTGAACTTTTGTCATATAAGACTCTTGTCGCAAAAAGCCAGGTAAATTATTACTTGTAATTTAGGAGTAACATATTTAGCCAGTATTAAAGTTAGCTTATTTATGAAATAAATATGAGATAGATATATGAAATTTATATCTAATAAAGTATTGGCAAGGTTGCCGAAGTTATAAAAAAAATATATATATATATATATAAAATGAAATCTAATCTTCTTATATATAGTCCTCATTTATACTCCCTTCCCATCTATGTAAACTTCTACTACCTTCTTCTATCTTATTTTCTAATACTATCAGAAAACTACTACTTTCCTCTTCACTTTCTAACACTTCTTCCAATATAGCTTTATATTTTCTTAACTTTTTATCTAACAAAACTTTATAATAATAATCTTGTAATTTTTTTTTATCATTATCATTATCTTTTTTTTCTTCGGATTTTTCTTCTTCCTCTTCTTCTTCTTCATCTAATTTCTCAATATTATATATCCACCTCATTTTCTGCCTATTTCTACCAATTTCCTTTTTTATATTTAAGATTCCATACAACTTCCTCATATCTTTTCTTAATACTGTATACCCAACTTCAAATCTTTTTTTTGCCTAATACAATATATTGTATTTCTTCTGTTTATCTTTTATACAATCTCTTAATATCTGCTCTCTAAATTTTTTTGCTTCTCTCTCCTCTTCTATCTTCTTTTGTAATTTTTCATTTTTTGCTTCTAAATCCCAAATATATATTTCTTTCCTGAATTATAAATTATTGTTTTATTTTTTTACTTTTATTAAATTATATTAATTGGTTAAAAAGTTATTATTTTTACCAGTTCTTCACTACTTCTTTTTC